CTTTTAAAGATAAACACCAGGCACTCCCTTGAGAATCTCCCAGAACCACCAATTTAGGAGGTTTGAAATTTATACATTCTCGCATAGGATCTTGTCTGCTCGTGTTTAGTAAGTAGAATTAGAATTTTTCAACTGCATGGATCTGAAATACAGAGTACTTTGCTTCCCTGATAAGTCAGAATTGAAGGATGAGGGCTATGTACTGATTTACTGTAATCTTGTTAAGGAGGCTTAAATTCAGAATTCACTGAAAGAGTAGACACAAGTGGTCAGTAACATTGCTGGGAATAGTGGTAGGGTGACTGTATAGGTGATTTGTTTCAGCTAGAAAGCAGCAGTCACCAATTTCATTTCTTCCAAAGTATTCTTTAGGTGGAATGCTTACCTATGAGAGTAATTTACAGTGTTATAAACAAAAACTAAGACAGAGTTTATAACTTGTAATGAAATAGATTTTCGTTGGGAGCTGTGGTACCCTAGAGCAGGAAGGCTAAGTCAGATACACCTGTTCCCACATACTATGGTCTGAATAATTGAGTCCCCCAAAATTCTTACATTGAAACCTAATCCCCAAAGTGATGGTATTAGGAGTTGGGGACTTTGGGAGATGATGAGGTGATGAGGTCACAGCCCTCATGATTGGGATTAGTGCTTTGCTCCTTTCACCATGTGAAGTCACAGCTAGAAGGCGCCATCTACGGGGAAACGGGCCCTCCCCAAACATTGTATCTACCAGTGCCTTGCTCTTAGATTTTCCAGCCTCTATAACTGTAAATAAATCATAAATTTCTGGTAGTTTTTAACCAACCCAGCTTATGATATTTTGTTATTACAACATGAAAAAAAACCAAGACATTGTGTATCTGGAAGACTTAACTCCAAATCTTATGTTCTTTTATGTAAAATAGGGATAATACCAGGACCAGACTCATGAAGAAAAATTTTATGCAAAACATTTAGCACAAGGCATGTCATAAAGCAAGTACTTATAAGTGTTTGTAGTGATGACCTCACAAGAGCTCAACTATAAAAAGCTTGGCATGTTGGGCTTTTCGAGTTGACCTGGAAGACCATGTTCATTACTAGATAAGCCCAGTAGTTTGGAGTAATCTCAAATTTTCATGGGGGGGGGGTGGGGTGGGTGGGG